GTCCTCTCCTCCCATCCACCCTGCACCCCTGTCCAAAGCCATCCCTGCCTGAAACCCTGAAGCAACCTTTGTGTCCACATCTACAAACTCCACCCGTCTTATCCTCAGCGAGGCAACCAGCGCGTGTCATGGCCCTCCATTGGCTTCCTGGTACTCGCATGGCTCTTTGTCTTAGTCACCATGATTGTGGCTGCAGTCGGTATCACCACATGGCTACAGTTCCTCTTCTGCTTCTCCTACATCAAGCTCATCATCACGCTGATCAAGTATTTCCCACAGGTACTCCAGAGCCTTCCTGCATTTCCATGTGGCTGGTAGGATGAGAGGTAGGAGGTACTGAACCCAGGCCCTGCTCTTGTGGGGCAGGTTTACCAAGTTTAGGAGAGGGAACAGCAAGTATAGGGTAGGATGACAAAGATCAGGAGGGGAACCAGGAAACCACCAAAAAGGACTTCCCTCCTGGATGGTAGGAAAAGAGAAGGTACCAGCCAAAAATACTCAGAGGGCACTGTGGGTTTGGAGGAGGAATTAGGGGCTGGAGCAACAAGAAAGAGGGGATTACCCAAGAGACCAGGGAGCCCAGCAGGTCAGAGGTGGCAGCTCAGCCATTTTACAGGTGGAAGAACTAAAGGACTTCTCTTCTACAACAGCCCTAGCTCCAATGCTAGAGCTGGATTCCACACTCCTAAGTAGTGTGGAGTCCAGGCTGAGATCAGGGACGGAATCACTGGAACTGTGAAGAATCAGAGTTCCAATGAGACGCAGTAGCACATACCTGTATTCCTAGTACTTGGAGTACCCAGGAAGCTGAGGGAGAAGAATCATGAGTTCAAGCCCAGCCTGGGCTACACAGGGAGACACCGTTGTTTTTTGTTTGTTTGTTTTTGTTTTTTAATGCATAAAATTAAAACTCAGAGAGAGAGGGCTGTGTATACTCTAAAAGGTTGAGACTCTAGGCAGCACTCCACACCCCACCCCACTGGAATCCAGAGATGGTGACGGGGAGGGCAAGAAGGGAAGCTTCACTTGCCCTGCATGCATACTGTCCCTGGCTATGGTTTGTCAAGGCTCAGAGGTCACTGTGTATGAGAGGGAAGAGTCAACAGATCTCCTTTGGAGTACCAATCACAGGCATGTGTGGTTCTGTCTGTCCCCAGGCCTACATGAACTTTTACTACAAAAGCACCAGGGGCTGGAGCATTGGCGGTGTGCTCCTGGATTTTACAGGGGGCAGCTTTAGCCTCCTCCAGATGTTCCTCCAGTCTTATAATAATGGTGAGTCTACCAAAACCACTTCTACACAGTGAGTGGAAGGAAGTACAGCAGAGATGGGCTTCCTGGGAACCCCTAGGTCCTGCAGTTTCCTGGGCAAATGGGGGTGAGGGGAGTCCTCACATCCCCCACACATCCCACCTGCATTAAGAACTTCCAGCCTAAAACCATATTCTGTCCCCTCTGGCTATTAACAGACCAATGGACATTGATCTTCGGAGACCCAACCAAGTTTGGACTTGGCGTCTTCACCATCTTCTTTGATGTTGTCTTCTTCATCCAGCACTTCTACTTGTACAGAAAGAAACCAGGGTATGACCAGCTGAACTAGAGTCCAGAGACCCATTATTAACAGCCAGGGCCTGGGCCCTGGTAGGAAAGGTTGTGTCCAGCAAAAGCCAGAGAAGCAGCTGGTACACAGGGCTGGAACAGTGTGCCAACAGAGAAGCATTCTCTTCCTCAAGGGTCAAAAGCCTTAAGCTCAGTCTGCCTACCTTCATCCAGGCCCCTCCTGAGCCATAGAGGACTCCTTCTCTGGAACAGACATCTGACTCTGCTTGAGACTGAAAGCCAGACTTCGGGCTGCCTCTCCCAACTTAAAGATCCAGCCCTCTGCTGGAGGTACCCAGCCCTCCTGCATCTTGATATGCCATCTCTCTTTCTTTAAGGCTTCAGGCAGCACACACAGGTCCCGACAGCCATCCCAGCCAGAACTGGGCATCAAGTTTGCAGCTGATGGCCTTGCCCCAAAGCACCAATATTTCTGGGAGCAGCTTGAAAGGCTAACCTTGCAACTGGGAGAGCCAAGGGTGCTTTGTTCCACCGCAGTGTTCACAGGGACCACGCAGTCAGGTGCTGTGGCCAATGGACTTGAAGGTGCTGATGCTGGTGTTGGAGGGGAGAGGACTGTGGGATAAGGCATTGGGGTCCTTTCTCTCAGGGCCACATTTCTTATACTCATTCTATATAACTCTGCTCCAGTAACTGCAGAACAAGTGGCCCAGGCTAGTGCCTGATAAAGTATATTTCTGATCCCTGAGGACCCTGCCAAACTGGTCTGAAGTGGACCCATACCTGCTGCCCTCTGGATTTTTGTGCACAAAGATAGCACATTAACTTTTTGATTTTTTTTAACCCCCAAGGGATACTTTAAAATGGCTTTTCTTCTGTCCTCTTTCCTACCTCCACTTTCTGAGAGTCAGATGGAACACCATCTGAGTACCCACACTCCTAACCTTACACCTATGGAGCAGGTACTCAGGACCAGCCTGTGCCTTAAGGCCCATCAGTCCATCAATCAGTAAGCTCCCCTGGATGGTAAGGGAGGCCTCCTTCCCCAGCCCCAAACCAAGACTCCAATGTCTCAGCTGTTGAGGAGCCTCAGAAGTACAGGAGCTTACCTCCTATACTGCTTTTGGTCCCACCCTGATCTCACACCTCCTTCCTTCTCATCCCAAGTTATCCTTCCTATGCCAGATAAGGAAGGAACCAGGGTCTGCCATCAATCTGCTCCTTTTGGTTTTTATAATACTAATATTGAGGGGCCCTTGCATTTCTTTCTTTTGTATTTCTTTCTTGTTTTGTTTCATTTTGGCGGATACATGTCCTTAATTAAAAGGTGGCTTGTTTCCTATTTGTACACTCGGAACATTTACTGGATGCTGAAGGCAGTTATGTTGGCCTTCAGAACCAAGTCCTGTGGGCTTACCTATGTCAAGAAATACACAGGGCTGTGGAGTATACTGATTTGAGGTGGCTGCATGCTGACCCACACTGGATGGGGAAAGACCGTCAAGATGCCTGCCTACCCAACCAGAGCCAGGTAGGTTTGTTTCCCAGTGCCTTAGCTGCCAGTACCAAGGCCCCATCAGCATGCTCAGGCTGTGGGTGTGAGCAGGGGTTGGAAGGTTCAGAGTGGAGTGGATCCTGAAGCAGGGGTGATGACTGAAACATCTCTAATTAACCTCTTGTTTCCCAGAGTCAAGATTACAGCCTGGTCAAGTCCATGGCTCACTCAGTGATTTTTTTTAATAAAATATGTTATTGGGCTGGACACAGTAATAGAAACCTATAATGTCAGATATGTAGGAGGCTGAGGCTAAATAAGGCCACAAGTTCAAGGCCAGCTTGAACAATGCAGCAAGACTTTGTCTCAAAAAGAGCAAGCTAGTGGCTCACTGGCAGAATGCTTGCTCAGAGTGTAGGCTTGAGACTCTGGGTTCAACAGAACCCTCCCACTCGTACCCCCAAAAATGAAAGGAAAAAAAAGAAAAAGAAGAGAGTTATTGGGTGCTACCCTTTAAAAAACAGATTTTAAAATCTGGAGTTTTTCTTTAGCAGGATGCTAAGCCACCGGATACTGAGTATGTTAGGCAGGTACTCTATCACTGACCTACACCTCAGCCTTCCGGGCTTTCCTTTACCTTTTCTGGTTTGCCAGAGATAGGCAAGCCCCTGAGTGGCATTTGCCTAGAGTTCCCAGCTCACTGTCCAGCCAGTTCTCAGCCCCTTGGGTTTTTCCCATAAACCTGAGTGCCCACGAGGCTCCTCTCAGGCGGGAACTGAAGCTAGTCTACACAGAGGCACATGAAGGTTTCAGTGACATGTAACAGAAAATATAATCCAGACTTTCCATAACTGTAGGAAGGTGCTTCTAGACATTTCCACAAAGGTGGTCTCTGCAAAGCCATAGCGTGTTCCCAGTGAGGTTTCTAAGGTACCACCAGAAGCATGTTTTCCAGACAGAGAGGCCTAGGAGGAGTGGGGCTTTACCCTAGAACAGTAGGGAACAAGCTAGCCATCCTTAAAACCAAACCACCCTCCAAAACACCTCCCCAACATCTAGCAGAAACCCCTGGTAAATTCCAGCGTTGTTTATTGGACACAAGTGTTGAACATGGGGTAGCATCATACTGCCCCATTTCCATAGTAACCAACTGGCTTGGTCACATGCTACAAGTTGCTGCTTCCAGGTGTGTGAATTAGTAAGCTAAATTCAAAAGGAGAATTGGCTTTTCCAAACAGTAAGATAAAAACACTTTTGTATCAAAGTTGTGACTTAAAAAATACAAAAGCTAAACTCACAGGTGTAGAGAAAACTGGCAATCCTGAGAGCTGCCTTGAAATGTCAGTCTTGGAACTTGTAGGGAGGCCAGCACCCATTAGGGGACTGAAGGGAGTGGGAGCCTGCCCTCTTCATCCAGGTGGCCTTCATTCTGTCTGGCATATGTGGGTCCAGCCCCAGGCTGGGCACCATGATGGAGGAAGCATAGGGAGAGGCACTGAGGAGGTGACAGGGCAGGGCCAAGCCCTTCAACCAGAGCAAACTGGAAGAAAAGGGCCCTACTTGGCACTTCCAAGCTTTGGCATCTCTCAGAGGTGTTTCCTGACTGCCTAGCCCCTGCTGTGGCCAAACCCCCAGCAGGTCTCTGGATGGGCCTATGGTTACTGAAGACTGAATACTATTCCAGCCCCTTATCTCCAATCCTCAGTATCCAAGAGAGAGATCTGGTCCCATGACTTGGACTGGGGAATTGAGGGGTAAGAAGGTTGGCTTGGACCTTTGGGATCAGCTGTTACCCCTCAGAGCTGGGGCCCAGCACACAGCAGAAGCCAGAATTAGATACAGACAGAGCGTGGATGTGTTCTCACTGTACAAAAAGGTCAGCGGGCACAAGTCTAGACTGTCACTGACTGCTAAGATAGCATGGACTGCTGTACGGCCTTCTGCAGAGACTGTCGAGTTACCAGCAGGCGGACCACCTCCTCCGAGCGTTTGGTGAGCCGCTTCCGAGCTTGGTCATGAGTGACCATGGTCATGTCCCAGCCGTTCACCTGGCCCAAGGAGAAAACACAGGCTCTTCACCCTCTAGAATCTGGAAACAGGGTTTTGAGGGGCCCAGGCTACACAAGCTAATATCTCCTAAAGCTGAGGTACCAAGCATTCTGGCAGAGGCACACAGGATAACCAGCTTCCTTAAATGCAATATCTGCAGAGCTTCCAAAACCCATTTCGGTGAGTTGCTCCTCTCTGAGGCTAAGTCAACCCTCACCCCCAAGTGCTTCAGCCCCGCTCACCCAAACCTTGTCTTCTTCCCTTGGGACAACTGTACCTGCATGATCTTGTCTCCAATCTGCAGCCCAGCAATTTCAGCAGGACCTCCCTCAGATACTCGTGTGACGTAAATACCCTGGAAAGAGGCAATGCAGGTAAAGCCCTGTCGTCACTGGATTGGCCCTTTACTCACAGAGCCCAGGATGACATACTCTAAAAAGCTCCTCTGTTCTTGTCCCCACCTTTCCCATCAACACATTCAGCCAACATGGACAGTGCCATGTCTTGGGGGGGGGGGTGTCAGTGTCGCTGCCCCTGGGATCCCTGGGATGTTCCAACCTGCTGATGGCCACCTCTGCTCCTCCAGGCTATCTCAGCATGCCTTCTACCTAATCTCACCAGATCATTAAGGATTGTCTAAGAAAACAACTGCTACCTCAGCTTCTGTTCCCCCACAGGGAGGTCTGACCCTCTTCTCACCTTGTCCGTTTTATCTTCTGAGAAGGGATTCTGGGAAGGGTCCTGGTCGATCCCACCTCCAATACTGAAGCCCAGGATTAAGTTCTCACCTTGACGCAACTTATGAATTTCAACTCTTTGCTGGTAAAAAACAAAACAAAAAAACCCAGCAAGTTGAGGGTAATGGGTAGGTGGGTGGAGAAAGATCTAATCTCTGTGCCCATCAGCAACCTCATGCCAAGAGTTCAGGGCCCTCTGCAAAAATCCAGCTGGTTACCTGTCTGGGAGGTTGGCAGTTGGGTCTAATCCACACAGCCCTTTGCCTGCAACTTTTCCCACCCATTTCCCATCCTTGATCAATATGTATTCTGAGGGTACTTCAGCTACTACAGAAAAAGACACTCATATTTCTGGGGAAGGGACCACTCAGAACAGGAAAAATCAAACCCCAAGAAAATGCAGACATTTGCTGAGGCAGCTCAGATTGCTGAGCAAGCCCTACCAGAGATGATGCAAGCCAGGAGGTACATAGGATAAATTAAGAAAAAACTTGCACAGAAGAGAAGAGATTCCCGGCCAAGGAGACTGATGGGTACAGCACAGGACCAGAAAGTGAGATGGGACTGAAGGGGCGTAGGCCTAATCATATCATCTCTCCAGTCTTCAGGACCTGTTCTTAGGCAGTGTAAGAGAGCACTCCAGGGTTCTCTCAAGCACGCTCTGGGGTTAAGGTCTCCAATTATGCAGGCTTCTTTGAGAACCCTCAGAAAGCAACCTCCAGCCACCCAGGGTTACCCCCAAAGTTGAGAATTCTAACACAAAGAAACAGGGGTAACTTTCTGGACTTGGAAAGGCCTCAACAAAAGGAGCATTGGTACCCAGCCTTGGAAAATGATTGTGTCACCACCTGACCTTGAGCCTACTAGAATTCAAAAAGGAGTGAGGTAAGGCACTGGTGCTACAATGACCACTGGAGTTGTCGGTAGGGGAGCGGACGTCTCATGGGTGGGATGTGGAGGCCTGAGGACATGAGCTACTTATAAGTGGTGATCCACAGACAAGGACTGGTCCTAAGGAAGTAGAGCAGAGCACCCTGGCATATGGCTAGATCAGCGTTTCTCTACCTGTGGGTCGTGACCTTGGGGGGAGGGCGTCGAATGACCCCTTCACAGGGGTCACCTAAGACCATCAGAAAACAGACATTTACATTATGATTCTTAACAGGAGCAAAATTACAGTTATGAAGTAGCAATGAAAGTAATTTTATGGTTGGGAGTCACCGCAGCAAGAGGAGCTGTATTTATGGGTAGTGAGTGGGATTAGGAAGGTTGAGATGACTGAGATCCCGTCAGGATAAATGCAAGCGTCGACCCGAGTGGAGCACAGTGTCAGGGGTCATCTGCACAGGCTTCCAGGGAGCAGATCAGTGGGCCGAGAGTTCAGGGGAAAGCTTGGAAAATGGTTTTAACAAAATGGCTGGAACCTGTGAGGGTAAGACTGGGAAGGAAGCATCTCCACCCCGTAAGCAATCCAAGACTGAGAAAGGCCAGATCTGCCCGCTTATGTTCAGGCATGCACCTGGCATTAGGATTGGAGGACTGTGGTCTTGCAGCTTTAAGGAAGACTCTGACTGGCCTGCCAAGACTGAAGAGGAAGAAAAACCATGATGCCTAAGGCCCTTTCACCTGGGGCTTCCGGTCCAAAAGTGTAAGCTCCTCAGGCTTACTCCCACACACACCTTCCTTCACTCCCACCAGCGAGGTCCAAAAAGAGACAAAGCCCTAACTTAAGGGAGAAGTCAGGCCGCTACGTCCTCAATTACACCCTCCTCTTCCAGATAGGGTCAAGCTTGATCTCCTTTCTGGGACAGCTAGGGAGGGATCCTAGAAAAGTCAGGCTGGTGCAAAATGAGTAAAAACCGGGAAGCTGTCCATTGTCCCAGCAATGTATCCTTCTAGCCGGAAGCTCACCCTCCCAAGCCACCTTTATCTCTAGCTGCGTTGCTCCCACCCTCCTGACGCTGGGAACTCCAACACACCCATCTAACATGGCCCATCCCTACAGTTCCAGTGTTAGGACTGTGGAGCCAAGGGAGAGTGTTGACTCACACCTGTGACTCCAACACTTGGAAGGCCAAGAAGGGAGTACTGGCAGAAGTTCAAGGCCAGTTTAAGCTTTAAGTGTAAGGCCCTGTCTGGGGAGAGATCTGGGTCCTTTTCCTAGAAGCTTCCTTTTAGGAAGCTGGGCACTAAAGCTTCTCTCTGGGATTCGGCTGCTCAGGATTGGCCAGCGCCCCCATCAGACTGTAACCTTAGTGTTTAGATCTACCTCCTCCCTCCTGTTGCCTATTCAAAAACACCTGATATACAAGACAAACCCAGAAGGCGGCCCTGGAAAGGTCTAGAACCTTAAGTGTCATGTACAGGACTACCACTACGCATCAAGGGCTGAGTACCCTAAAAAGTTCAGAAGACCAAGCCTTAGCTCTCGAGAGGTCTCCCCAAGAGCAGCGAGGCCGGATGAGAAGCGGGAAGGGGGATGCACAAACTCTGGCCAGCCCCACCCCCTAAATCTCCTACGGCGCGGCGGCGGCGGCGGCAGTGTGCCGGCTGGAGCAGAGGAAATGCTTCCTCATTCCAGAGGCTGCGACTCACGGACATCGGCGCCCGCCCCCCACGGCCGCCCAGCTGGGGACTCGGAGGCCCAGGGCAGGGGAGTTTTCTAACACTCCCACGGACTGGCCTTTCTCCTACGTCCTCCCGGTCTGAGCCTACTAAAAGGTATCCACCCCACAGGCGGCAGTGTACAGGATCTGGCCTCTGCCCATGGTCGGGGGAGGCTCTTAGGTCTCAGCTACCTCTCCTGGCCAGGGAAGGCTGCAGTGCTGTTAAGCAGAAACGGCCACCGGAATATACGCAGGAGCCCCGGGTCCTATACTTTCTCAGCCTGTCTAGATGTCAGTTTGCCGCTCTGCGAAATGGGAGTGAGCCAAGAGGAGAAGGAGCCCGCGCGAGCGCACTCACCACTACGGCGGTGACAGGCTGGCCCGGGATGTAGGACATTTCGACCGAAAGCTGACAAGGCGACAGTGCCCGGTGAGACCCCCAGCGAGAATGCCCGCGGCCGCGCCCTCCCTGGTTAACAAAGGGCAGCCCTGCTCAGCCCGCCCCCTCATGAATACTTAAGAACTCTCTAGCCAATCAGCATCTGGAGCGCTGTTGGGCTTTCGGGAGTCCCGGGGCTTGTGCTCCAAAGTGGGGCGGGAGGGGCGAGTGCCCCAGGCGCAAGCGTGGAAGGGCGGGGCGGAGTGTGTGCGCCTGCGCAAACCGAGCCCTCCCAGCAGCCTCCAGCACAAGATGGCGGCGCAGGGCTCTCCGCTTTTTCCTGTCTGAGGGAACACGAGGGACTGTGTGCCGCTGCGTTCCAGGTAACTCTGCGAGCCTGTCGGGCGTGTGCTGACGTGCTGCTGTCTCGGGCCGGCTCGAGCCTCAGCTTCGGCGTGCAGTGGAGGTCAGAGGCCCCAGGCACGGTGTCGGAGGTCCGAGGGGGAGGAGGCGCCGTGCGCTCAACTCGCCGGGCTTCGGGCGCCACTTGAAACTTGGTTTTCTCCACAGTTCCGCGTGAGTCCGCGAGAAGGCAGAAGCGGAGCCCCGCCGGGTACGATGGCCGCGGTGGTGGCCAAGCGGGAAGGGCCGCCGTTCATCAGCGAGGCAGCCGTGCGAGGCAACGCGGCGGTCCTGGATTACTGCCGGACCTCAGTGTCAGCGCTGTCGGGGGCCACAGCCGGCATCCTCGGCCTCACCGGCCTCTACGGCTTCATCTTCTACCTGCTTGCCTCCGTCCTGCTCTCCCTGCTCCTAATCCTCAAAGCGGGAAGGAGGTGGAACAAATATTTTAAGTCACGAAGACCTCTCTTTACAGGAGGCCTCATCGGAGGCCTCTTTACCTACGTCCTCTTTTGGACATTCCTCTATGGCATGGTGCACGTCTACTGAAATGAGGGCAGGGGTGACTTTAAAACAGACTGGCAAGACTCTTGCCAGAATTAACACCGTGTAGACTTACTTAGTTTTTAAATTGTTGGAATTCGCTGCTTGTTCTGTACTGTTATTTATATCTGAAGACAGCCTGTAATATTATTCTTCAGATTAAATGAAGTGTGATACCTTGTCGTTCTTTCCTACCTTGATGCTTAGCCAAGCTTTGAAGTCGCCAAGATTTGCTCCCTGGAGAGCAGGTACTAGGCCACTGCCTGTACATTTTTTTAGGATTTATACCTAGTAAGTCCAAAGGGACCTCTAGGGCTTACATGAGAGAATTTAACCTTAACATCTTAAGAACTGGTAACAGTTCGTGTTACTAAGCTTTCTCTCTGTACGGGCATTGTGTGTTTTAATTCAGAGGTTACTGTTAACCTGTTGATGAAGAACCTGAGGCTCAGAGAGGTTAGTTGTCTCTGCCAGAGACTCTCATCTGGGAGGAGGCAGGGCCAGGATCCAGTTAGAAGCCTGTTCCTTATGCTGTATTGGATGAGAGTACTTTTCTAGCACCCCACTGATTTCCAGTATGAGTGAAATCAGTTAAGTTCCATTTACACCTGGTCTCAGCTAGTCGCCTTTCCTATAACAAAAAGCAAAAGAAAAGCAAGCTATTTTTCTAAAAACGTGTACTATGGCGATTAAAAAGGTTATTTTGGACATTTAATCAAATGAGTTTGTTTCAAGTGTAATGCCTCTCACTATATGTTTATCTGTAATCCTTCGAGAGGAGAGTATTAGAATGAAATACATGTTTAACTGAAAAATAAATAATGTGCTAGACTTGTAATGGACATGTTGCACATGGAATTTATAGTCTAACTGGGGAGATTGGCATTACCTGGTTTTACAGGTAATACAGATGTCGTGAAAGAATGCACAGAAGCACTAGGTCTGGACTAGGTTTGGGAATGGAGTCAGAGTCAAGCAGGAAGGCTTGAAGAAAGAACATTATATCTGAGACTGGAAGGTTTAATAACAGCTATATGAAGTATGGAGAAGAAGAGCCATGAGACAGGAGGCTGGTGGCTTTTATCAGCCCATAAGGTAATCCTGACCACGTCATAGAAGCCCAGGGAGGAAGTTGGCCTTGACTCGAGGAACATTTAGGGGAAGTCTGGAAATTGTAAGAGCAGTGTGTATTGGCTTTTTAAGATATGAAAGATGGAATTTAAGACCTCTTTTTCAGTCAGTAGATGGTCTGTACCCACCCCGTAATGGCCTGGGCACCCATGCCTAAATCCTATTTGGGTTTTAGGCCACATGCTTGCATCTCATGCCAAGAAGCAGAGGTCACAGCTTTACCTCCCTGACCCAAAGTGCCCACTTGTAAAGATCCTGACATGCATGGTGTATATAGCCTCCCTCTCCTCAGGGCCTTCTCTCATGTGGGAAGGAAGGGGTCTTTCCTGTTATTGAACAGTAAATTTGTTGCTAATGTTGGCTGCTACAAAAATATGTAATGACTTTTTATATACCTATCATTTTTGGGCAGAGGGTAAGTTACTGTCAAAACTTCCCAGCATTTATCCAATGAGAAGTGCTAGCTTTATCAGTTTTTATTATAAATCCTGTATAGGTATATATGTCTGCATGTTGGTGGGTATATGCAAGTGCCCATAGAGGCCAGAGTTATCAGCTCTCCTGGAGCTGGAGTTGCTAGGAACAGAACTCAGGTCTTCATTTAAGAGAACCTGCTGTTCTCTTAAAGCCATTACCTTCCTTGTCTTTTAGCATCCATTCAAGAGTCTCCTTGGGGCCAGCAAGATGGCTCAGCAGGTAAGGGTGCCTGCTGCCAACCCGATGGCTAAGTCTCCAGCACCTACATGGTCAAAGCGAAGAACCAACTCTGCCTTCACGAGCATACTGAGGCACACACACATGTAATTTTTAAAAATTCCCGTACTTTGATTTGATTCTGCATGGTAACAGGGAACAGAATGTCATACATTTCTTCTTGTTTCTTGTTTCTACCTCATAAAATGTTTTCCCCTACATGGGGTAACTCTAAAGGGAAAAACTTAAAATTGATGCCTTTTATTATTTTTAAAACCAAGTAAAAGTGTCCAAAATATGTAATGTCAGACAGGTCCCAGATGGTGGGTTCCCCAGTGAGAGGACAGCTGGTGGCAGTGAGGAAGGGCAAAGGCGGCAATGACCTGTGCTCTTTCATGGCTGATTGTCACATTGATAACACCCAGTGTATCAGCTTCTTGTTGGCCCACATCATGATGCTCCCAAAGGTACAGAATAACTTGTAGGACAATACTAGATGGCCCAGTTTAGGCTAGGGACTGACGCACAAAGAATTCATCAGATCCTGTAAGATCAGAATAGGAAGGAGCTCTTGGGTTAAGACTAGCCAATAAGCCAAGCAGTGCCCAGAAAGGAATAAAAGTGTTGTCCTAAGTTTAGGAGTTCATTCAAGTTCCTGACTCAGTTCCTGAGTTAAAAGCCTGGTTTCACCTGTGGAGGCTGTAATTTGGATCAAGAGTTCAAGACAAGCCTGGGCTACAGAGGAAGACCCTGTGGGGGTGGGTTCATTGGTTTTTGTTGGGTTTTCTTATTTTGTTTTTAATATAAGCTGGTTTCCATAGATGGATGAGCTGCCTTACATCAAGGTTATGGAGAAGGCAAGAAGTTGGGGGAGGGAGAACCCGGCAACTTTAGCAGAGTGGGCAGCCCTGGAATAAGACCCCTGGTCTTTCTAAGCCCCCTAGCACCCTGTTTGGTTCATGATGACAAGTGTGACCACTTCATGGTTAAGATTCACCACCACCCACCAGACTGGAAGCATGTGAGAACAGGGTCCATCTGTATTGTTCACCAACACAGAATTTAGTCCCACACCTGACAAGAGCAGGACACATGACAGGAACTCAGTACTTACTAGTTTACTGATTTACTAGTTTATAACTAGTAAAAGGCATTTTCATTCTGATACAAAAAAACAAGCAGTCTGACTGCCCCCAAGCCACTTCAAAAACAGGTAGAACCAGCCAGGCTCTGTACAGCCATGATCTTTGACCCGCTTCTGAATAGAGAAGCTGCATGCTGAGTTTGCTTTCACTTTCAGAAAGCAGAACGGCTCAGTGACATCCCCAGACAACCAAAGGTGAGGGGCTGCTAACTTTGAGAGCAGTCCTGCTCTGGATACCACTAGCCCCTTCCTCAGTGGCAGCATCAACTCTCTACCCCTCTTTTTTTTTTTTTTTTTTTTTTACTTATTTTATTTTGGGTTTTTCCAGACAGTGGAACTTGCCCTATAGACTAGATTGGCTTCAATATAAATTAACTTGTTCTGGAACAAGAGACATAGCTCACCAGTTAAGAGCACTGGCTGTAGCTGGGCAGTGGTGGCGCATGTCTTTAATCCCAGCACTTAGGAGGCAGAGGCAGGCAGATTTCTGAGTTCGAGAGTTCGAGGCTAGCCTGGTCTACAGAGTGAGTTCCAGGACAGCCAGGGCTACACAGAGAAACCCTGTCTTGAAAAACCAAACCAAAAAAAAAAGAGCACTGGCTGCTCCTCCAGAGGTCCTGAGTTCAATTCCCAACAACCACATGGTGGCTCCCAATCATCTGTAATGGGAGCTGATGCCCTCTTCTGATGTGTCTGAAGACAGCCACAGTGTACTCACATACATTAAATAAATAAATATAAAAATAAAAAATTCACTTGTTCTGCCACCCCATGTTGGGGTTAAAGGCATGCACCATCACAACAGGCTAAAAACTTTATAATTATTTTACTTCATGTGTATGAGTGTTTTTTTAGCATGTATGTCTGTGCACTGGTGCGTGCCTGGTACCCACAGAGGCCAGAACAGGGCATCTGATTCCCTTGGAACTAGAATTACAGGAGGTTGAACCATCATGTGGTTGCTGGGAGTTGAACTTTGGTTTTCTGAAAAAGCAGCGAGTGCTCTTAACTGCTGGGCCATTGCTTCAGCCCTCTGCCCTTTTTTTAGAAGGGACCCTCACTATCTGTTGCCCAGGTTGAAATTCCTGAGCTCAGGTGACCCACCTCCACCTCCCATATGCTGAGTCTTCAGGTGTGTACCACCTCACCCCCTCTGATTACCATCTACAAGGGTTCTGCGTGTGGTAGGGTGCTTTTCAAAGAGAATGCCCCTGGTATCAAAAGAAGCACACAGATACCCATGGGATAGAGGAAAGTGAGCCTGCTCCCCAGCCCTGTATTTAAATGTGTCCCCAAGTCTGGTTTTGACAGGGAATTTGGTCTTATAGGAATAGATCATTTTCTGAAAGAATGGTCAGGTAGCCAGATGCTCCTCAAAAAATGAAAGGGTTAATAGAGTTAAAAAAAAAAAAGAGTCTCACTTCTCGAATAGAACTAGCTTTTGTCAAACTCAGAGATCCACCTGCCTCTGCATCCCAAGTGCTGGGATTTAAAGTTGTTTATCACCATCCTTGGCTACTTCTCTGTTTGTGAACCTTTAAATTTTGAATTAGATTAGGTATTCATCAAAATGTTTGAATTTAAAAAAAAAAAAAATGAGCACACTGCTGTCTTCCAAGTGGAGATGGGAAGGCAGGTGTAGTGGCTTTAGTCCCAGCACTTATGGAGCAGGCCGTGAGGCCAGCCCGGTCTATATAGAGAGTTCCAGGATAGCTAGGACTACATAGAGACCTCATGTCTCAAAAACAAAAACAGTTAGGATGGGAAAGGGACCCTTTTGGCCTCAGGGCAGCTTGAGTAAGTCACTCATGCTTGCCAGCCACTTTGGGAACTTGGTGGCAAGACTGCCACCCCTGCATCTGTCTTATAAACTAACAAGGCTGGTAACTAAGGACAAAATTATCTTTCAATTTCTCCAAAGTTACTTCTATTGTGAGGGAAAAAATCAGTAGGTAGGTTGGCCTTTGGCTGGATGTGATCACAATGCCTTCTAATTGGTACCATATAATAGATAGGTATTTTGAGTATTTTGATCCTTTTCCCTGGTCCTTCATTTTTAAAAAGATTTGTGTGTGTGTGTGTGTGTGTGTGTGTGTGTGTATACTTGCCTGTATGAATTTATGTGGATAACATGTGTGGTGGTTTGTATGAGCATGGCTCCATAGGTTCACATGTTTGAATCATAAGATTAGGAAGAGGCCTGCAACCCTGCATTTTTGTCAGGCTCTCTGGAGAGTGGGTGCTGGCCCATGGACCCCACTTTGGGTTCCATGAAATGCAGTGGGAGAAGGAACTGGGACACAGGTCAGGAACAGCCTTACAGTGAAAATTATCCTTTATCTCATTAGCACATCAAAGCTGGGCTTCTGAGAGCAGGAAGGAAGTCAGACCAGGACCCCCAGCACCACCAAACAGCAAGAGCTGAACCACACAAGTCCATCTCTCACCTGGGCAAGTCAATTTCCCAGAGCTACCCTAGGCTTCAGATAGTGGCTTACTTGCCTTCCCTCCCCAATCTTACCTGGGAGCCCCTGGAGTTTGCTCTCCCCTTAAGCATTTTTCCAGGTGTCTCCTTGGCCAGCTTTACATTTTACATCTGGGGGTGGAGTCAAGTGTCCCCTGGATGTCATCCAGCAGCTTTTTCTGGGTAATCATTCTCTGCAGGGACCTGTCAAAGTCTTGGCTAGAGGCTGGCTGGGCTGACTGTGGTGTCTCTGGTGAAGGTTAACATGTGTGCCCTCTACCCTAGGGCCAAGTCAACATCTCCTTTAAGTCTCTCAGGACTAAAGTGCAGCATGCACCAATAAATGTGTACTGCCTGTATAAATAATACACACATGTCCAGCTGGGCTCAGAGTCAGGAATGAAAACCAACCACTGAAACCCCAGGCTTGCCCCTTCCCTGAGGGCCTGCCCCAGGGCCTCCTTCCTGCATCCTGAGCCACTTTGGCCACCAGGAGGCCTTCCATGAAACAAAGCTTGCAGCAGGATCCCACCCAAGCTGGGTGGAGCTGTGAGGCTTGTTCTCAGAAGCTTCATCCTGAGCAGGCACCACAGAGATGCCTCTCCCCAGTTGAGAGCTGTGGCCTGTCCTGGCCCAATCATCTTTGAATCTGTTCTCTTCCAAGAGCTCTGGCTACGTCTTCACTGTTTGCAAGACCTGTGACTGTTTCACGTTCATGACGACATTCTCCTGGAGGCCAGACCTTGAGGGAGAGATGCACACAGAGGCAGAGAGAAGGCAGTCAGGACCTCTGGGCACCATGGCCTTTCTGAGGATTAGTACACGGCAGCCGCAGCCTTTCTCTATCAGTGAGCAGGAAGGCATGGCCGAGGAGAAAGAACACTGTCCTAACTGCAGGTCAGATGCATGACAGTGTTGAGGCTGAGGACTGGGACTCACAGACCCTCCCACAGCCATAGGAGGCTGCCCTAGACAAGCAAGATACACCTGCAGGTAAGGAGCTCACGTGACCAGGCAGTGACAGCTCCGGGGATGGCTATGCTTAGGCTCCCTCAGTCTGCCCTCACTGCTGCGGCTCTCGGCCTCCATCTTTCTCTCTTTACTCTGCTCCATCCCAGGCTATTTCTCAGCATCATCCCTGCCCTGACCCAGCTCCCAGCTGGAGGATGCCTAACCTTAGCAAGAAGGGAAAACAGGGCTGGGAGAAGGACCATCCCAGGCCTGAGAGACTCCCTCTGGAGCGAACCCCCCACACCCTTTGCAGAAGCCAGTCCCTCACCTGGCAGGCTCGAAGAGCACCTGGAAGTGGCTATTCTGCTTCCTGCTGCTCTGGTCCAGTTCTTGGGACTGCTCATCCTGACAAGTGCTCTCCAGTGGCTTGTCCTCCGGCAGCTCCTGCTCCATCTCGTTGGCCTCAACCTCAACATTGGCTTCCTCCTTCTGACTCCTGTGGAAGATACGGCCACAACCTTCTTGGGGCACTGACAGAGAATTGTACTCCTGGTTGAGCCAGACTCTTTCCTCCGGCAAAGCAGCCTATGGCCAGGTGGAACTTGACCAGCTAGGTTCAGGCTGCATCTGGGGCAATGCACATAAATCATGCAGGTCCAACATGCACCCATAGTCCGGGTTGCTGGGACTGAGGAAGCACATGCTGCCTGACCCAATTCTTCATTCTGGTCCCAGCTTCTCCAGAATTCCTCCTCCAAGACCGAGGCAAGAACCCCTTTCCCTTCCTGTCACTGCAGACCCAGCGCCATCCCATGCTATCCAATGTCCCAACGTTCCGATGCTAAGTGCACATACACACACATACACACACTGCTTCCTTCCTTCAACCCCAGGCCTCTAAGAACCAAGTCCATTTTGTATAAACCAATGTTCTCATCTCACAGATGGGGAAACTGAAGCCCAAAGAAGGCATGGGGCATGTCTAAAACCCTCCATTAAGACAGACCCTATCAAAAAGTCTGTCATGTAATCTGGGGAGACTTTTTCCCTGGGTCTTCTGAACCAAGTTCAGTCTTAGGAAGCAGGTCCTCATAGCATGCCATCTACACATCCAACCCAGGACCAGCCAGATGGGGCTCTAAGACAGGCTCCGGGAAATCCTCTTGGGCCACAGGGAGGAAAGTTAACTTACCTCACTTTCTCAAACTTCTTGTCTCGGTAAAACTCGCTCTTTCTGATGAGGTAGATAAGTACCAGGTCGCAGAAGAAAGCCCCCTGCAAAAGAGTCGGGAGCTATGACTCAGAATCCTAGCTTCATACTGTTTGGAGCCTGCAACAGCTCAGGAGCAGAGAGCCACATGAAACATAAGATGGCCCAGAAAGGGGTGATGTCCAGGAGCACAAAGCCACTCCATAGTAGATACAGGTTAGATTGGGGCAAAGCTGGCTGATTCCATGGATCAAGTTCCCCTCTCTGCCCCGACCAGGTCTAATAATGTCAACAGACATTTACTAAGAATCTGCCACCACCCAGATGTGCACTGGGGTGCCAGAAGAATATGGGCTGGACTACAGAGACCTGGGATCTCCCTATGCTGCCGGAGACAAGTGGATTATGATATGGAGCCACTAGCCTTATAATGGAAACAGGATCCGGAATAGGTGGAACACAACATTCACTCAGCCTGGGGACCTGCACCCAGCCTGTCTTGAGAGTTGAATTGGAGGCCTGGGGTTGCATTGCACAGGGAGAAGCAGGCTGGTCATCACCTGTAAATGCCACAGGGCCTGTGTGGGATGCTTCCGGTGGGAGTGAGAACCAGCGTGTTTGAGAATTCTTTTAGGGATGCTGGTCCTAGTTCTTATGGGGTGTAAGGGGTTGGGGGTTATGTCAGTGGCAATGTAATGGTCCAGAGAGCTCTCTGGTACCCTGGCCAACAGGAGTCTTAACCTCAACAACAGGGATGCTACAACCCCAGTCAAGGAAAGACAGGAAGGAAGCCTGAGCTAACCCAGTTGGGGCCAACTAATCACTGAGCACAGGCCTCAGAGCAGAGTGTGTTCTGTGTAATGCCTGCATGCTCCAGCAGAGGGCTACTCTTCCTTTACTGTAGAGATGGAGGAGGTGTTTCTGAAAGCAGAGGAGGGCACCAGTGGAGCATACCTGTTTTCCTCAGACTCCAAAAGTCATTTATCAACATCTCGATACTACTCCTTCTCTCAGCCTTCCCCACCACCCTTTGCTGCATCCATTACCTTCATCCCATGGCCGTGGTCTCAGACTTCCAGAATTTACCTACATTGTAAGCGAGCTACGCACACGCAACACAGCCAGGGACCCCTAAAAATGACTGCCTTACTCAGGATGCTCCACTTGGGGACCACTGTTTGGTTTGGTTTGGTTTGGTTTGGTTTGGTTTGGTTTGGTTTGGTTTGGTTTGGTTTGGTTTGGTTTTCAAGACCGGGTTTCTCTGTGTACCACTGGCCTAGACCAGGCTAACCTCAAACTATGAGATTCCCTGCCTCTACCTCCCAAATACTGGGATTAAAGGAAAGACCTGCACCATCGCTGCCCATTAGTGATCATTCTTAATCCCTGTCAAGACAAGTTTCTCAGTCTCAATGCAAAGTCAATCCTGATAGAAAATCCTTCAGTGGCTGCTTGGGCTGCCCAGGCAGAGGGACAAGGCTTCGGAAAGCCATGGCAGGGAATTTGCTATATTGGCATGAACCCCTAATGATGCCTCCCACATTTAACCTCCTCCCAGAAGTACCAAGGAAGTACCATTTGCAGGAAGCCCTTCCCTGCACTCCAGCCATTTCCCACCACAGAAGCCACTATGGATGGCTAACCACCCACCCAGAACTACAAGTTCTTAGCTGGAGACCCTTTCTGAGCAGCTGTGAGGGGGGGCCAGCTGACATTTATTGAATAGAAATCAGGGATTCTTAAGTGCACAGAACACCCCCAAAGCAAAGAAGCCCCTGTCCCCAACTGTCAATCAGTTTCCCATTACCAGAACTGGAGATGGAGATTTTTAGACACAGCATCTCAAAGATCCTAGCCCACAGCAGGACTAGAGGATGATCCACCTGTGTGCCACACTCCACTCAAGCTCACAGCCAGGGCTACAGGCAGTCAACACCCTCTGGGGCAGCTGGCAGGGTGTAAAATCACCCTTGTCCTTCCCTGTGACCTCACAGGCCTCCTGTGTCCTGGGCTCCGCATGCTCCTCGCAGGCAGTTAATGACTTCCCTCTCCCTAGGAAGCCAGCAAGGCAGGGGAGATACTCACAGCACCCATGAGCGCCAGCCCAGAACCAATGTTGATGACTGTGGGGATGATGCTGAATTTTCCTGCCTGTAAGACAGAAACAGATGAGTAAGGCAGGGTGGACAGCTGGATCCCCAGGGGCTCTCCAACCTCCCTGACCCAGTAACCACCATGCGCTGGAATGAGAAGATCCACATACCTTGCCATTAACTATCACATCAAAACGGATGCCGTAGGCTTTCATCAGGTCACGGAACTCCACCCCATTAGGGTCACGGTAATATCTAGCAAACCTGGGAGACAGGGCCCAGGGGAAGCTCATCCACCTGTACCTTTTCTCCCTAGCAGCACAAAGCAGCCGCTTTGGGGGATTCTCAGCAATCCAGGATCCTAGAGCTGCTCTAGGAGTGAGCCCAGACCAAGTACAAAGACTGGGCATTCTCAGCATGCTTAGTACCAACCCCTGGACCAAGAGAACACTGTTGACCCAGCAGAGGATACAGAAGACAGTCAAGGTCACCAGGGAGCATAAGAACAGTCGTTACCTGAAGTTGTACCCAGAGGAGATGGATTGTGTGTGTTTGTTGTCCAGACGGTTGAAGTAATAGTGTGGGTTGCAGTTGGAGGCAGCTTTATCAAGGTCACAGTCCCATTCGATATGGATTCCTATCACACCACCCTTGATACGAGAGACAGGGTGAATGCCAGAGTTATCCGCAGATGGACAGAAGTCACAGAGCAGCCCTTTAGGAGAGCCACACCAGTCAGCCAGAGGTCTGGCAGGGCCACACTTTACACACAGATCAGCAGGTGTCCACAAGGTTCCTTGCAATTGTTTCTGATGATGACCTGGGGTTAGAAAACAACCTAGCAGGCACCAAGTCAGCCCCACTCACCCACCCCCAACTCCCAATGAGTGCCTGACACAGCCAGGCCATATGTCACAACTAATTGTGAAAATAGTGAGCTCCTGGGGACAGGTGACAATTCAGGATCACCCTGGCCCTAAAGGCCCCTCCATCTTCCCCTTCTCAATACAGTGCCCCAGGTCTCAATACAGTCCCCCAGGGAGGACTCCCTGAGCACATATCACCCACCTTCAGGGCTATGTCTTGGAAGTCAGCCCCTGCCCAGCGGACAATGGACCCTAGTCGGAAAATGGGACAGTAGAGATTCGTGGAGCTGAAGTGACAGGTTTTCAGGAAATCTTTGTTGTCTGTTTCTAGCACATTGGCTCTGAAAGGAAGCCAGGACAAGAGGGTGAGATACTTTGTTGCTGGGCCCAAGTCCTTTGCAGGAGGCAGTGAACCCTGTGCCAGACATGACCTCTCCCGACCTCAGCTTGTATCTTATGCCTCTCAAAAACAGAGACTACCCCCAAGCAGAAGCAAGGGCACCTCTGTTTATTCAGTCATGTGTACACACCATGCACAGCGTCAGCACAGCCACAGGGAGGCCCTCAGCTCACCTCTCCCTCCAATAGTCAAGCCCCCACCTACTTGGAGAAGTTGAACTTGGGGAAGCGAATGAAGTTCTTTATGAAAATGGTGAAGCCTTCGGCATCCTTCAGGAGGGGATCCCTGAAAACCAGACCAGGGAAGCCTGAGCAGGAAACCTGTCCTTCCCCTTCATGACTCCCCTAGACCTGGCAGGAGCAGGGAGGCCTCTGGCCTCAGGTGGGACCCACTGTGTAAGGAAGACTGTGTGGGCAGCTCCTCTGGGACCACCCACTCACGTTGGCATGGACTTTGTCTCCACTGGGCACCAAGCAAAGATCTCACAGGTGCCCCGGGTAGAGTTCCCCACCCGTAGACAACGACCAGTTTTCAGTCCTGCAGAGGAGAAACGGGGGCAATGCTGTGTGCCTTCCTGTCCATGTGCCTTTGCCCTGCTCCAGCCCCAGCTACTCCAGGCCCTCACCGTGTCCAGCTACGACAGACTCCCCAGCATGACAGTCAGTGTCCTCAGAACACTCGCCATCAGGGATGCCCTCACGCTACAAGGAAAGAGAGGGATCTGCTAAGATTTCCCCCAGCCCAGGACCAGGTCCAGAGACAGAAGAGGGCTTCCCCCCTGGCCTGAAGCCTCATGCACTTTGAAAACCTGTTTCTCAGGCTGGCAAAAGTGACTAGGTGGTTAAAAGCATCTGCCATGAAAGCCTGAAACCCTGAGTTTAATCCCTGAAAACCATGGTGAAAGGAGAGAACCAACTCCTGAAAGTTGTGTTCTCTCTCTCTCTCTCTCTCTCTCTCTCTCTCTCTCTCTCTCTCTCGTTCTCTCTCTCTCTCTCTCTCTCATACACACACACACACAAAGTAAAACTTAAAAAAAATAAAACCATTTCTCTCCCAAAGCTTATGGTAGCTATACAGCATCTTGACAGGATTGGAGCTAACCAAGCCCCTGCTTCAGGGGGGACTGTCACCACAGTCAAGGGCTTCCCAACCCTCCCACCACACACATGCCAAATCAAACCTCAGCACAGATGCCCTGCCGCTGGTTAGGAGTCACAATCAGGTTGGTGACCACGAAGAAAACGTTCTCCCCCTGAGGAGCCAGACAGAGTTTAAGGAATCTCCTTCTGGCCTTTCAGGGAAGATTCAGCCTGGTAGAAAGTGGACCTCTACATGGGGTTGGGAACAATGGGGGCCACAAAACTGGAGATCATTGTCCGTCTGTCTGATGAGCCCATACTTCACAAGTGGATATCTTTTTATGGGTCACTTACACCTTCACAAACCCCAAGCATTCTCACCTCATAATTCTTTGCAAACTTCTGCCCTGATTCTACACCAGGACAGCTATGGACACACTGGGGAGCTGTTCCCAGGGGTACTGGGCTATAAGGGAGGGGTTCTCTGTGCCAGGTCACTCTGGGCCCATGTGGTCTCAACAGACATATAGACCACTGAGAACAAAAGAAGCCAGGCCTGGTGCAGGAAAAGAGACAGGGACACCATGGGGGAAAGAACCTAGCCAGGGTTTCTGTCTGCATCCTGGGCCAAGGAGACAATTGATGGAGTTCTCTGGTACTTCCTATGTGACCCACCCAAGCCACACCTCACCTGCCCAGGTCCCAGGGACAGGTGATGATCTGACCTGAGAGGGAATGACAAAGTCGGCTACATCCCAAAGCCGTTCCCCAAGCATCGTGGTGTTGGTATAGGCCACCCCCTTGACTTTGGTGACCACAGCACTCTGCAGGGAAGTGTCAATGTCCTGATAACTCTTCTTTATCAGAAACACCCATCTGTAGAAATATGTAGAAATATGACCAACAGTCAGTCACGGGGCTGCCCAGGCCCAGGCTGGAGTGAGATCCATAGTAAGTCCTAGACTGGTGGGAGCAAGAGCTCAGGGATTCACCTGTCCCACAAGCATGCATTCTGCAGTCAATATGCTAAAGCTGGAAAATAGAGTGTTGGAGGCCATCCTGGGTACAGGGCAAGATGCTATCTTTTAAAGAAAGTCTGGGGCTGAAGAGCTGGCTTAGTGGTTGAGAGCACTTGTTCATCTTGCAGAACATCCTTTTCCATTCCAGGCACCTTCATGGTAGTTCACAGCCGTCTGTAACTCCAGTCCCAGTTGTGACCTCAGGGATGGAGACCAGGCACATATATGGTACACAAACACACATGCAGGCAAAACATTCATACACATAAAATAATAGAATTAATACTTCTTGGGCTGGGCGGTGGTGGCACACACCTTTAATCCCAGCACTTGGGAGGCAGAGGCAGGCGGATTTCTGAGTTCGAGGCCAGCCTGGTCTACCGAGTGAGTTCCAGGACAGCCAGGGCTACACAGAGAAACCCTGTCTCAAAAAACCAAAAATAAATAAATAAATAAATAAATAAATAAAATTAGTACTTCTAAAAAAGAAATAAATTACTGGGTGGTAAGGTAATCCACCCCTTTAATATCAGCACTTGGGATACAGAGACCAAAATGAGTTTGAGGCCAAAATGATCTACATAGTGAATTACAGGACAGACAGACTGCACACTGCACAGTGAGATATTCTCTCTCTCTCTCTCTCTCTCCCATATATATATATATATATATATATATGCATATATGTGCATTTATATATATATACATATACATATATATATTGCACATAAACTTATATAGCCTCATACACATAAATAAAAAATAATGTTGTGGTAATAATGTTTTTTTTTTTTGGTTTTTCGAGACATTGTTTCTCTGTATAGCCCTGGCTGTCCTGGAACTCACTCTGTAGACCAGGCTGGCCTCAAACTCAGAAATCCGCCTGCCTCTGCCTCCCAAGTGCTGGGATTAAAGGCATGCGCCACCACCGCCCAGTGTGGTGCATATCTTTAATCCCAGCACTCAGGAGGCAGAGGCAGATGGAGCTCTGAGTTTGAGGCCAACCTAGTCTTCTGAGCAAGTTCCAGGAGCTACACAGAGAAATCCTCTCATAAAGCAAAGCAAGATTAAAACATACACAGCAAAAACAAAACAGCAAAAACGTTTGGTCTCTTCAAATTAAAAATGTTTACACATCAAAGGGCAATGCCATGAAAATGTGGCTGAGGCTAGCTTCAAACTCACAGCAATCCTCCTACCTCATCCCCGAGAGTTAGAATTATAGATGTATTCCAGCCTATAATATCACACATTTCTAAAATTATATATATGATTAAATTGTGAGTGTGTGTGTGTATGTGTGTGTGTGTGTGTATTTGTGCATGTGCACACATGTTTATGTGTGCTGGTGAGGTCAGGTACAATTGGGAGTCAGAAGAGTCAGATACTCTGAGGCTGGAATTACAGAGGGTTGTAAGCCAATCAGCTGGGAAGTGAACTCCTAAAAGAACAGCAAGCAAGCTGGAGAGAGATGGCTCAGAGGTTAAGAGCACTGGCTACTCTTACAGAGGTCTTGAATTCAGTTCATGATGGCTCATAACCATCTATACAGAGATCTGATGCCCTCTTCTGGCATGCAGGCAGGGTACTGTATACATAATAAATTTAAAAACAAAACAGCAAGCACTTCTAATCATTCATGCTTCATGACTTCACTCTGTCCTCTAAAAAGATATACTTTGAAAATGAGGTGACCTGTGTCAAATGCTACGCACAGTGAGGCTAGCACAGAGCAAAAGCTCCATGCACAGAAATCACTAACTCGTGGTTAGCTATCAGCCAGCTTAGACCATTCGTGGTGAAGCTGGGGAAACCAGTCAAAGGGGTCAAAGGAGGAAGAAGCCAGTTCCCTGTCATGCAATGAGTGCACGGCATGCTAGCTCTCTCCAGGGAGTCACAAATATGTCAACCAACATGTGTCCATTTCCTCATTTCTGGGGCAGAGTTGGAGAGAGCCTGGATCCTAAGCTGGCCTTGAACCCTCAGAGATCTGCCCACCTCTGCCTCCTGCGATTAAAAGTATCCACCACCATGCCTGACTAGAAAGTTGTGATTCTTAAGTAGAGAAACCCTGGGCCTGATCAAATTCAAAACAGTAAGCAAACATTCAGCATTCGTTTACTCATTTCATACAGATTCCCAAGTGAAATGACATCACAGTGTGACAACGCGTCATGGCATCCCCAGACGTCAGGCAGTCAGAAATAGACACTGACCAAATGACCAATTAAAACGGCTTATGGAAGTGCCAGGGAGGGAGGAAGAGGGAGAACTCAAATCTGGACAAGGAGTGGTGCTGACCGAGTGGGGAAGGAAAAATGTGATAACTGAAGAACAGCAGTCCAAAGGCCCTGAGGTAGGATACTGCCGCGTGCTTTGGAGCTAAAATCCAGGAAACACTAAGAACACAGCCATTATCCATGCCTATAATCACAGCACTCCAGAGGTAAAGGAAGGAGGATTTCTGAGTTTGATGTCAGCCTGCTCTACTGAGCAGTTCCAGGATAGCCAGGGCTACACGGAGAAACGCTGTCTCAGGGTAGGGGGAGGAGGAGGAGGAGGAGGAGGCGGGAGCAGCCATTAGAAGGCAGCAAGGCTAGGCCAGGACTGCCCTCCCAGGAGCAATAATTGCACATCATTTAATGAGGAAAAGAAAGTGAATCGCAGCTGTCCACGGTGGCTGCCTCTTTCCACCTGTGCCCTCTTCTTCCTAGGAGCAAGGGAGGCCTCTGACCGAGCTATTAAATCCCCAACAAACTGCCCGTGGGCTGGTAGGCCCATATCCTGCTAAATGAGATGGCAACAAAGGAAAACAGTAGAGCATCTGGACGCTGGAGAGGCTGCCTCCTGATTCTCGTGAGCTAACCCTGAGTTCCAGAACATGCCAATCTCATGAGTTGGCCCAACCAAGAGTAAGCCAGTAATGCTCAATGCTTATAAATAACCTGCTGGGTGCCTGGGCCAGCTGTCAAGCCGGACATAGGGAGGCCTCTGGGGGGCAGCTGGAGCCCAGTGTCCTGGCATCCCTGCCTCCTGGTCATGGCTGTAACACTGGGAGCTCCAATCCTGGGAGAAGGAGCTCCTACAGACAGCTTCAGACCAAGGTATCCAGTTGCTGCCGCCCACGTTTCACAAGGCAGTGTCCCCCTTTTACTTTCCCATTCTTATATCCAAGGGCCCTTGAGGGCCGACTCCCCAAGGTCCCTGTGTCTACACCTTCCCCTCCCCATGTACCCTTGCTTCAAAAAAGTGCCCAAGAACTCACATGAGCAAGTACAACAGGATGGTGAGCTGTAACACCCGGTAGAGCAGCCCCACCTTCTTGCTCTTGGCGACCACGAACTTTGCTGTCTTGTAGTCGAACAGAGACAGCACGAACCCCTTCCAGGCCGCCTGGCCCATGCCTCCAGCTCACTCTGGCCGCCGCCGTCTTCCGCTGCCCCGCAGCCAACCGAGCACTCTGTGTGCGCTGCCGCAGTCCCGGGGCGCGCGGCTCCAAAGGGCATGAGCTGGAAAGCAGACGCGCAGACCCGGGCGCGAGCACAAGGCGGCCAGCAGGATCCCCCTGCCTCGGAGAGCCTGACTGCAGCGAGCGCCCGGCCTGGGATGCTGCCGCCTCTGCTGATACCGTGACACCACCCGGCTGTGCCTTCAGCCACTGGCTGGTAAGGACGCTCGCAGGAGTGCGGAGGCGAGGAAGAAGGGGAAGGTGCTTTCCAAGGCGTCTCACCCGCCCCTACCTCCTCCCACAGGACTCGCTCGAGAGGAACCCGGTGGGGAAATAGAGGCAGATTCCGGAAGGGAACCACAGCGCAGGAAACATAGGAGGAGGAATAGACAGTAACGACTGTTTTCCCAATTGCCCTGGCCTCTCTACTCACGCTGTCAGGCAGATGTATAGGTTCCTGGCTGCCTGTGGGTGCTGTAATCAAGGGGCGTTTCCATCGCTTCTGTGACTGGGGATTTAAACCCTACAAATTTCTAGGGTCAGGGATCAGAGGTCCCAGTCAGGTACTGCAGGGTGGGGAGAACTAGGGCACCAAGGCGAGGGACCCTAACATATGTCTAGATTCTGAATAGTTCCTAAAGTTAAAGAACCCAATGCCATCCTCTGAGGCTAAACCAAAATGAGAGAAAGAAAAGGTGCCTGGAGCTGTGCTTTGGAGCTTGATTATGGACTGTCATAGATTGTCTGTGGCGAGGGGCTGTAGGATGAGAGGATGTAGGATACCATTCCTGTGGTATGGGTCTATATGCTGTGAGAGGCCGTGTGGTGAGCAGTTATGGGGCTATATATATGTATACTGGTGGGCTATGTGTGGTGAGGGGTTGTGTGGTGACTGGCTGTGTATGTACTGAGGGGTTGGGTGTCAAGAGAGTCGCTGTCCCAGGGGCTGAGGGGTAAGGAGCTGCGCACACTAATTTTCTGCACTTGTGTCTGAGCACGCCACCTCTGCTCCTGACCCTGGCCCTCTTGCCCAATGGAAAGCTCGCTCTCTGAAATGACAGACTCCAGAAGTTGGAAGAGATGCTGAAGTCCACCAGGTATGATCTGTTTCAAAAATAAAAGTTTCAGGGAACAAGTGCCCAGTTTTGCAATATGAAAGAATGACTATTAAAAAAAAAATAACAAATTCCTGGGCTTTGCCCTTGAATTTTTTATTCATTCTAGGAAAGGGCATAAAGTTCGTATTCTGTTCCTAAAGTATCATTTGGAAACAATGTGTTGTTATAATTCTTCAAGCTCAACCCAACCAGTTCCTCAAAAAGGCTTATTTGCATACATACTTCCAAAGTAATCCCCACCCCCCACTCCAATCACCTCTGTCCCATGACCCCAACTTAGTCCTTCAGAGCATTTTTTTTTTTGATACAGGATTTTTCTGTGTAAGAGCCCTGACTGCCCTGAAACTCACTCTGTAGACCAGGCTGCCCTGGAACTCACAAAGATCTACCTGTTTCTGCCTCCCAGGTGCTGGGATCAAAGGCATGCTATCTACAGAGCTCTTTCAGTACTTCGCCAACTCAGTACTGTGCCCCCAGACAAGATGAGAAGCTCCAAGAGGTTGAGGGCATTGCTTTAGATAATCCTGCCCGGCGGTGGTGGCGCACGCCTTTAATCCCAGCACTTGGGAAGCAGAGGCAGGCGGATTTCTGAGTTCGAGGCTAGCCTGGTCTACAGAGTGAGTTCCAGGACAGCCAGGGCTACACAGAGAAACCCTGTCTCGAAAAACCAAAAAAAAAAAAACAAAACAAAACCTATGTCCTGGGCCCAGCAACATGCTTGCTACATGCTAGTTCTGTATATTTATCAAATAACTAAACAGGCCTGCTTTCTTTTAAACATATTTGGACCTGCCACTAGGTCCCAGTCACAACCCTGGAAGCTGAAGGCATCCTATTTTCTGCCCAGTCTTCCCCACATGGCTCTCTAATGGCTGAAGGGGAAGTAGCCACCATGGAGCCATCTCACACCCTTGAAGATGCTGCCCACCACCTGCTCCAGCATAAGGTAGTAAGGTGGTAGATGTTCCAAGCTGGAGAGCTGGTGAGAACCTCCTGTTTCATCTAATCTGAGAAATATCTGAGAAATACTTGTCCATAAAAGATCCTGTAGCCCACAGCACAGCTGTCTGAAACATCAGGATGGTGTCATAGAAACAGGGATATCATATCTGACAATCTTGTCCTGATAAAAGCTTCATCTTGGGCAATGACAGCCACTAAAAATCTCCCTCGGAGAGAATAATGCTTCTCTTCCTATTGCTGAGAAGCCAGTAGAGTATACAGCCCTTCCAGCACAACTTCAGTATCTAGTAATGGCCTCCCTGTAACTGCACTCTTGTTAAAAAGACTAAAGACCAACCAAACCTTTTTAAGGAAATGACATTTCTCTTTCCTGTATTAGCTAGGGCCTTTGGGACAGCGTGCAACTTCTTACTGCAACTCTAGTGCTGGGGTGGGCAGAAATAGACAAATCTTGGGGGTTCACTGGGCAGCCAGTATAGCGAAACAGTTCAAAGTTCATTGAGAGGCACTGTCTCAAAGAAATAGGCAGAGAGCAATAAGGAAAGATGCCCAATGTTCACTTCTAACCCACACGTGTCATGTACACATACACATAAGTGAACCTGCATATACATATGTACATACACGGGCATGCACAGAGAGAGGGGGTTAGGGGAGGAGAAAAAAAGAGATCCAGAGGAAGTGTCCTGTTGTGAGCCTCTCCACTCCCCAAATGGGGTTCCAGGTTTCAGCTAGGTTGTTGAGAGACAAGCCCTGGTGTGTACTAAGGCCCCAAGACACAGAGAAAAGACCACTAGTTTGGGTCCGGTAGTAGAAGTACAGTGTCCCACTATGTAGTCCAAGCCAGCTTCTAACCTGTGATCCTCCTGCCTCAGTTTCTTCAGCGCCGGAATTTCAGGCATGCACCCATACCTGTTTCCACCTGCTGCTTCTATTCCTGCTCAAACCTTTACCAGGCACCTACTGTAAATGTCCTGACAGGAAGACATTCTAAAGAGATGCTTGTGTCCTCCCTTAGACTATCAGATGACTGAAACTGGTTCCCAGGGCATCTTCCCAGGGGACGCATGCTGGGAGAAAGGAAACACTGAAGCCAAGTGCCTGCCACAGGTGTCTTCTAGAAACAGAATTCACACAGTTCTGACAGCTTCTCAGGCTACTTGCGGGAGAGACAGCAAGATTAGTAGAGGCAGGACCACACATACCTCCTGCATTCATCAAACCTCTTGTTAGAGCCATGGAGGAAGGCTAAGGGTTATCGGATCTCTCTGCTTGATCCTCACTGAATACATCATCCTCTGATTTCACTATAACTTGTCTACTAGGCTTGTTGAGGACAGGTAGCCAAGGCTAGCTCTAGTAGAGCCAAGTCTCTGACCCTGACAACTTCAGTAGTCAGGAGTTGCTACCGGAGAGGCCAGAATGTCAGATACCTGTTCTCTGACCTGTCACAATGGCCTCTCTGGATTTAGAGGGAGAAGCTTTGCTCTAATGTGCCCTTCTTCCCAAGCACTGGATAGCTAAGAGCAGGCTGCAATGTCTAATGGAACTAACCAGAAGCTTGAGAGACCTTGAAGGGTATTTAGAGAGGAAAAGGTTGCCTCTTTCTTATAGTCACTGGATGGTCATGACATCAATTATGTCATCTAAAAAAAGGGAGGGCAAGAAAGCTGTCCCATGGGGTAAAGATACCTACTGCCAAGTCTGAGGACTTGAGTTCAATCCCTGGGCCGCACATGGTAGAAGGAGCGCACTGGTCCCTAATAGTAGTCTTCTGACATCCATACATGTGCCACAGCCCAGGTGTGACATGCACATACATATAAATCAACCAATAATACAACTGTAATCTTAAAAGAAGAATAAAATACCAGAGTCTGTTTAAGAAGCCAGGGTTGGTATGCTTTCCTGAAGCTGATGTTTCAAGTGTGTACCTGAATCTGACATTACAGTGTGGATCATATTTCTTCCTATGGTTTAGTTAAAATAATTTTGGGGGAAATATATGTAAGTTGAACCCCAGAGTAACTGGACTCCATCTCTACATCCTGAGGCCGATTCCCCATGCCTACAAGTGCAGACTTAGTAGCCTCTATACCTAAGGGGAGAGAAGTGCCCTGGTTGTCACACTGATATTAAAAGTCTGAGGACATTTCCAAAATGAATGCCTGTTATTCTCTCTTCCTCCTCTTCTTGCTCCTCCTCCTCCTCTTCCTCTTCTTCTTCCTCTTCCTTCTCTTCCTTCTCTTCCTTCTCCTCAATGCTGGGACTCAAACCTGAGGCCTAGCAGATGCTAAGCTCACACTGAAAGCTCCAACCTTAGCTCTTGCCTGCTTTGAGGAATAATTCTCTTTGATTTTACCTAGTCCCATGTCAAAACTCTTAGAGTCCCACAATGCCTGATAAAATGATCTTTTGTCCCTAGTCCTTACTGTCATAATGAGAATTTCTGACCATTCAATACCTGCAGAGCCCTGATAAATGCCCTCCCTTACCTAGTGGAATCCTCACAACCTCCCCCACATGGTTAGAACCATCACTACCATGACTCCCCCTCAAAGGTTAGATGTACCCATGACCATACTGTTTGTAAGCCTCTGTGTCTGAACTAGACCGAGGTGCTCCCTTGCCATTGCCTAAAGATCTAGTGAGCCCACCAGAAAGGTCCTTGCAAAGGTTATGTCACACTTCCCAAAGCAAGATCTGGATCATTCCAGATCCAACTGGGGCTGTTGGCTCACATTCTTTGGCTGAAGGTTCTTTAATGTATAGCATCTGTGTCTGTCTTGTCACTATGGAGGGAGGCCATTGCTGGGGAAAAGGTTCCACAGACACTGTCTTCCTCCCAGTTGTGTAGAGGTCCCCACTGAGAAAGAATTCTCCATGCATGCTGGGCGGTGGTGGCGCACGCCTTTAATCCCAGCACTTGGGAGGCAGAGGCAGGTGGATTTCTGAGTTCGAGGCTAGCCTGGTCTACAGAGTGAGTTCCAGGACAGCCAGGGCTACACAGAGAAACCCTGTCTCGAAAAACCAAAAACAAAAAAACAAAAAACAAAA